CATGGTTGTATAACAAATATAAAATTTAATCCTGCTAACTTCCTCTGAAAAGAGAATGATGCTTTCAAGTTCAAAACAGCCTCTCATCCAGGAGCGTGTGCTCCCGTTTGTACAGGCTGTCTGATACCAATGTGTTCCACTCTTTAAAGGATGTAAAATAAGATATTTATGCATTATTATTTTTTAATGACTTTTTTTTTTTTTTTTTTAAAGAAATGTGTTTTTCTCCAGTCTAGGACTGCTTAGCTTCCAGGCATTTCCCAAGCTACTGTCTTCTAATTATAAGTGGATTTCTGGATCCTGCTGAGCTAAACAGCCAGTTTGCAGGACCCAGGACCACTGAAGGGGTGAGTGGAAAAGCCCCTAGATGACCTGTGGTTTTGGCCTGCGTCATGCCAGGAACAAAATCTGGAAGAGCCAAAAGGGAGGAGGAGACGACCTACCTGATTTTGACCAAAATAAAACTCTGTTTTGATTGAATTAGAGTGGCTTGGCCTCAGTTGTCTTGGTGCTCGTATGTCCTTTAGGTCTCACCAATTAATTGTTTGGAAGGCAGAGACTGCTTGAGCTGGCTTGTGTAACAGCATTGTAGCTCTGCTTTGCTCCGTGGCTTTGCTAAGTTTCTTCTTTGTCTTGTTCTGTCCATCCACAGGCAGTTGCCCTTCTTTCTTCCATCCTTTAAGTACACTGCAGCAGCTGCACCTTCTGCACAGCACATTGTGTGCATGTGTACTTTTATTAGACTGAGCTGGATTGGAATCTATACAGTCCTTACAAATAAAACCATAGTTTTGGAAAAACCTTTCTAGCTCCTGCATTTGAAGTAGTTTGTTTTCTTTTATTCTAGCAGTGGTTGTAAGCGCTCTTAGAAACAGAGTTTTTAAACTTGCTGAGCAGTCTTTTCTTTTGAGAGGAGAGGGGTAAGAATAACCATCTGAAAGACCAGGTAAGATTTCCCACCTTGTATTTGCTGCTGTGCATTCTATCAGAATGTGCCTCAATGACATACCTGGCTGTCCAAAAGCCAGGTAAGGAGAATAAGTGGTTCTTCAGGGCTTCAGTGTATAGAAGAAGAAGTGCTGCAATGTGCTGTAACAGGGAGATTGATGCACTGGGCTTCTAACAGCAGCATTTTGGAGGATGTGGAGTGAGCTGTGCACACAGGCTGTGTACAGTCTCTCCTAGGTGCCCTTTTGTAGCAGTTTTGCTACACTTGTTAGGGAATAGGCTGAGCCCCTGAGGTCGCTTCCTGCCTCATTTTTCTGTAAAAAATTAATATGTTACCTCCATTATTTCATTATGGCTAGCTTTAGAGCATACTGAGGTTCGTGCCAGAAATCGCACACGCTTTGACAAAAATGGTCCTGGCAGTGTCATTGGGCAGTACAGAAGTAACACTCAGTCTCAACCCTCATCTGTGATTGAAATCACTGAGACAGACCTGTTACAGCTCTTCTTTCTACGTAAGCTGGCATCAGTCTGCAGCTCTGAGAACTTGAATTCTAACGCTTCTATCACTGATTGGGTTCAGGGACGTCTTCATCTCTTCCCCCTTGGCTGGACATCACCTCAGCAGTAAATAATGCGAGAACTCTCAGCAGACACAGTGATTTGTTTTGATAAATGCCAGGGTTTTTCTGTTCACTGCTGAATTTGTAGCATTCTCAGGCTGGAGTTGGAGAATGTTTTTATAATTCGGAAGAACTCTTCATAATTACATGCAGTTAGAGACTAGTTGCAGTATTGGCTTGAGATAGCATGGGCCACTTCAAGTACTCCCTCTTGTTTGGGATTATTGGTGCCTTAATAGAGTTGCTGCTGTCCAGAACAAAGGTTTGTAATAACGATGTCTATTTAAAGGAAATATTTATGTTGTTGGATGCCTCTTCAGTTTATCCACGACTGCAGGCTGCCATCAAGGTTCAGTGGCCTTGTGATGTCTTTTTTCAGACAACATGGAGTGCTTCTGAAGGTACTGCTGGGATCTGTTCAGGTGGGAAAAGAAAGCTTTGAGTACAGATGAGTTTTGTCTGGTATGCAGTGTGCAATGATGACCTTAAGGAAGGAAGAGGCAGAATCTTGGGTTACGGTGCGGTATGATGAAAGGTGGAAGAATTATCCCTTTTCATTTAGTTTTATTTATATTCACAGTAATGAGTTGAGTATGGGCTTTAATGCCTTGCACTTAAATTCTTCTGGAAATGCAAAATTTGTGCGCTGATAGCTAGGAAAGCAATCCTGAGTATCTAGTCCATTTGTGGCTCAGCTATTGTTTGTTTCGAGGATGAGAATAAGCCACTGAGTCAATCGGGTCATCCAGTAATCACTTGTAAGCGTTGCTAAAAGTTTGGAAGAAGCTTTGGTGTCGAGCTGTGACTTGCTCAGGTAAGCACAGTGCAAGCTAGCGAGCTATGGCACTTGTGCAGAACGAGAGGAAATGATTTCCCAGCCAGCACTCAGGAGTTGTGTTGCCATTTCACGATGGGAAATGAACCCAGTCTAGGAGCTGGTAGGGTAAGCCCTGCTTCAAGAAAGTGCTGGAGGGTGTGCTTGGTGGGGGAACTGAAATTTACTTTGGTCATGCTTTTATTAAGTGTGTGCCTGCTGAAATGCTCTTGGGTACAAACACACGTGTGAGTAGGTCCAGGGAGCCTTGTGTTAGATTTATAACACTTCCAGGAGAGGAGCCAAACCAATTGGGTCTTTGTATTGGCTTTCCTTGATCCTCTTTGGGGAGCAATGTGGTATCTCTACTTTTAGAGCTAAAAGTGCTAAACATTTTCATACTCAGCAAATGCAAAGTCAGATACTTACAAATAAAACTGTTTAAAAGCGAAAGACCATTAAGTTCATACTTTATACACTTTATTTTAAAAAGATCACAGGGCTTCGAGTTATGTTAAACACCTCCTCAAAGAAGAAACAAAAGTGCTTTTCACAACCTTCTCGGATTCTGCTCTCGATTGTGCCCTGTTTGCAAATGGGAGAAGACAGGTTGTTGAATTTGGCATTTTGTATGATTCTCACCTGGCCCTCACTTGCATATGGCGCACCGATAGATTGCTGGAGGCTGTACAAGACAAAACAGACCTCTTTCCTCATCCCACTTTTGAAACCTGCTCTGAATTCTGACCAGAGGACAGGGAGGGGTAAAAAGGCTGTGTGACAAAGTGCAGCGTGTTAGAGGTTTCAGCCTTTGCTGTCCTAGCTGCAACTTAAACTGCAATGCTCAGCTCCTGTCTCCTGCCATCCGAGGCAGGGGAGAAATGTTTTGTTTCCTTGCAAGTGTTTGCTGGAAAGCTGCACGTCCCAGCTCATTGCCATACGCCCTTTTCTATGGTGGCCCACTGGCCACCTGGCTGCTTGCTGTGTGTTGCAAACGTGTAATTTTTCATGTGGTTGAAGTCACCCATTTCTGGGCAGAAGAGAGTAAAGCAACAAGCACAAGCTGTCAAATGTGATAGCTGCTGTACGCCTGAACGTAGCTAGGGGCTCAGAGCTCCAACACACAAAGGAATCCTCCTCCTATAGAACAGCCTATTTCTTCCTTTCCTTTTAAATGGTTTGGGTTTTCTGTTTTGTTTTGTTTTTGTTTTTTTCTTTTTCCCTCAAAGTTTTGTCTTCTAGCTGATTTCCCTTACTAGCCTTCCATTTTTTAACTTCCCTCGGATCACCCCTTTGTCACCTCTTTGCTGATTCTTTCTGCCATTCTGTACCATGGAGTCAGGAGTACCATCAGCCGTAAAGATAGATCTGATGCTTCGTAGCAGCCAACAGCAGGTTTTATCTCCTCTCTTTCCACATTCTGCATAGGTCACAGTCTTGAGCCACCAATAGTGAATGTCTGAGCGTAGCAGTGACTTGCAGTGCCCTTTTTTTTTTTTTCCTGACTTGCAGACTAGTGAAAAGCAAATATCAGCCTCCTGAGCACACTGGAACGTGAAAGGGGTCGTTCAGGTTTTTGTGCCATCAAAAGGAAAGGTTATTTGCATGGACTGGCAGTAAGCCACGTAAATAAGTGAACCTGCATTAAGATCACTGTCTGGGCACGTGAGAAAAAAAGTGAAATCAGAAGGAAATGAGCTGCAGAAGGGAGAGGAGAAGGAAGTGGTCTGCTTTTGATGGCAAGAGCACATGCTGTAAGGAACAGCAACGTAAGTAGAGCACATGGGGCTGCAGAAGGGTGGGATTTTCTGCAGTCACTCGTGAGACTTGAAGCCGTGTGGCACACTTCTGAAAGGCAGGGACACGAGAAAACTTCCTGTGGGTGGTGGCTTTTGCTTTTGCTTCTTTCAGAAGCAATGGGAAGGCTCTTCCCCCTGAGCTGCGTATGTTTGTCCTTGGATTGGAAGAGCCAGTCTGAAAGGTGGAGGGCTCTAAAGCCAACACTGCTTGACAAGAGTTTTAGTAAAGCTCCGGTGAAATTCCAGACCTGTTGCTGCAGAAGTAGTAATAGCAGTGGTAGTAGTAATAATTAATAAGAAGAAACTCTTGACTTTCTAAGCCGTACAAAAAAAAACTGGTGACTTTTGTCCCTTCCACCCATTGCATTCTGTGTGTGGCAGTGCTGTGCTTCCTTCCATTTATTCCTGACTCATGCACTTACTTTTAGAGGAGTTTGCTTTCAAGCACGTCCATCTCCTTCAGCTACTTAAAATCTCTCCTGAAAATTAAGAAGTCATTTTGCTGGTTATGGAGAAGAGAGGGTGGGAGAGAAGGGGCTGCTGCTGGGCTGCGGTGAGTTTATGTGAGCTCTCTTTTCTGTCACCAGCATCTTGGTAACAAAACTGGCTGAAGTTCGTGTGCTGCAAGAGATACGAGAGTTGTGTGCACACTCGTAGGTGGCGGAGAGCAAATGTGGTTCAAATGATCCGTTCCCAGTTGTGTTTCACCGCATGTGATCACTTCTTTTGGTTTGGTTTCCTGTGTGTTTGTGTGTTTCACCACGGATGTCATCTTCCTCATGAGAGACTTACCCGCTGCTCTCCTTTCATTTCCAGTTTGCAACTTCATGTCCCATGAGAAGTGCCTCAAGAATGTCAACATACCTTGTTCATGTATCGCTCCCAGCCTTGTAAGGGTGAGTAAGCACACACTGTTTTGTCTCTATTTTTTGTCATAACGGCACGAATTTATCACTAAGTAATCTGCGTAGTACGGCTGTGGCTTGCTGATGTTGTAATGCTTAAATCAATTGTGTTAGTCATCACTGAAGCTCCTACTGCTGTTCAGAGGCAAAGTCTGACATTTCCTTAAAAACTTCCCTGCTGCAGGCGGCTGTAGACAGTCTGTCTTTGAAGAGCAATTATTTGCATTCTTTAACTATTACTAGACATTTGAAATTGTGTCATTACCTGGAAGTCTCACAGTAATGGAATGGGGTGACTGATGGATATCAGTGCTCTCAGGAAACCGTAGTGTATCAAACTTAAAGAACTCTGTATAACTCACTTCTTCTTCTTTCTTTTTTTTTAAACAGTAATTACATCTTACTGGGAAGATGCTGAGTTTCCCTACCTAGTGAAGGGGCCGTGTTTGGCTTCTGTTGATTATTGATCTTAAGAATTTGCTTGCTTATTGTGCCTCGAGAGTAAAGTCCTTGCGTTAAAAGCACAAAATCTTAAAGTCAAATCAGGGCCTCGCTAAATGGTAAAAATTCACGTGGATTTATTTTGGCTGATAATAAAATCTTGGCTTTTTAGATGCCCTGTGACTTTTTTCTCCCACACAACTTTGTAATAATTGCTTTTGAAAAACGGTTTGAAAGATAGACTAATTTTGAAGGTATTAATATTATGCAACTGTAGTATTAAGAGTCTAAGATGAGGAGAAAATAGCGTTTTCTCCACCTGGGAAGGGGTGACAGAAAGGGTAGAGAGGTAGGAAGCAGGTGAGAACCTTCTTATCCAAGTGGAAAAACATTACAAAGTATGGTAAGGAGCAAATGTCAATTTCAGTGTTGTAAAATCAGAATGCATAAACTGTGAACGTTACAGACCTCCCTGACTGAAAACACAGTTGTGAGATATTCATTGTGTAGATCTGTGAGCTTGGGAAGGGAAGCTGCATTCCCTTCTCTGTACACAAAAAAAAAAAAGCATTACAGGTTTCTTTGCATTGTGGAAACCTGGTTAGGGGATGGGAGGTTTAAAGCAGCACATAACTAGAGCTACAGGAAGTTAGCCAGTCATTTTTATTTCACGTGCATTATCCTAGATGTTCATGCAGTTCAGCCTTTGCTACACACTTCATCTTCCCCACATGCTTTCATCTTGGGAAATGTAATTTAGACTAGCAAAAAAAAAAAAAAAAAAAGGAGTTTGATACACAGAACACTGCCAGTGGAATAATAAGAAGTATTGCTGTTGGTCTTAGAATCCACAGTAAAGGGATGTGCAGATAGTGAGAAATGCTACTACTAAGAATTAGCATCTATTACTGTTCCAGAATGCTGGCAGTCAGTCATTATAGCATGGGAAAAGGAATGATGACTCAGGCTGTGCAGGGATCTTTGGAGGAGTGGTACATAGCCAGCTGAGGAGCATTCATTTTTTTTCATAGGCATTTAATTGTAAAATTGTTTCTTTTGTGAATTTACTGCAAATTTTAGTTGTTGTTCAAAATAATATCTGTTGCTTTTGCATGGTGAAAATCCTGCATTGAAACACTGCATCAGTCGTGGACTTAGGATTTTTTCCCTTGCCAATCCCCACTTTCTACCTGTCCTAACACATGGGTTGTGTTTAGTTGTGTGTTTTTTACGGGTAAAACACAGGTGTTCTTGCTGCAGAAGTAGAACATCTGAGTGCTGTTGTCTATCCTGGCAGTTTAGCACTGCTGTATTTAGCTGTGAAAAGTCTCGTGCTGAAATCTGTGCTGAGTTGTAGTGATTATGCATCCAAAGTAGACCAGACTGTCCGGACAGAATAGCAGCACAGACCTGTCCTCCTCGAGTTGCTCATCCAGGTTGCATTGGTCCGGGTCTCTTGTGTGAGTGAAGCCTGCCCCATGGGCTCTGCTGAAGTGAATATTAGCTCTGCACTTGCTTCAAAACCATAACGAAGCAAAAAACAAACGATGATTGCTTATCGAATGTCTGGGGAGTTTGTTTTCTTCTATCAGATGACTTGAATCTGTCTTTTTATGGAAACGTCTGATGGAGAAGGAAGCACGGATGGGATTTTTTTTCCCTGATGCTTTCCTCTAGCGAGTTACTACTATTCTATGCACCCCCAGATGAGGATATGTTTATTTTTTTTAATCTCAGATTTCATCTAGAGAAAGTGGCAATTGTTGAAGCTCATCGTGCTGTGTGTCATTCCTTATCAAGCCAAACTGTGAGAGAATGGTTTTTCAGCAGGCAGGCTATGGAAGCTTTTAATTCCTGAGACCAGGGCTTCCTTCCTGGGGTCAGGTGAGTGCCCTCAGAGACAGAAACAGGTCAGGTCTGCATCCAGCCTCAGATCATTCTTGGTGAGTTCACTCTCCAGGCTGCCCTAAGGAGCTTTTTTTTTTCTGTGCTGTTGTTGATCTTTCTCACCTGCACACGCTGTTCCAGCTTGGATCCAGATCATGATGTTTTGAAATGGAATGTCACGGATCAGGCTTCTGAACCCACTTTAGTTTTTGTGATTTCTGAGGGATGTGGTTTGTTTCACTGAGATCTCTGCATCTCCTCCAAGTTCAGATTCTTCTCCTTACGTCCTCACAGGTATTTGCCTACTCTGAGGCATGTGTTAGAAAAGAAAAATCTGAACAGAAGACAAAATGACAATGAAAACAAAAGCTGAGTGGGTGTGAAATGTCAAGTTTCCTTTGTTGGGTTGGAACGAGCTAGAAATTTGTTGCCCCTTAAATTTACCATATAAATGTGTGGGGGTGTTTTTTTTACATAACCGTACTTTAAAATTAAATGGAAATGATAGTATAACAGAAGTAGTTCTAGCGAAATGAGGCGTTTGTGATGCTCGTTTTTCCTGCAGCCCTTGCTGCACTGATGCCTTGCTGTAGTTGTTTCCAAACGCTTCCACTTCAGGAAGGGCAGGTAGACTTCACGAAAACTTCCTTCAGTGTTTTTCTTCTTACAGCCAGGTTGCCTGGAGTGGAAACATCGTGATGTAGGTCATCAGCTTCTTGTGAAGATCGTAATGCTAAAAATGAGATGTGGCTTGTGGTTCAGAGCTTGGGTAGCAGCTGCATTCTCAAGTTGTGGTACTGAAGGAGAAGATTTTGGAGCTCACAGAGGTCTGTGCTGGAGGAGCAGGCTTGCTGACCTGAGCCTTTCCCTCTGGCTGCTGTGTCCTGCAGTTGGCTGTGTGGGTCAGTTCCTTTGTTTCTCATAATCTGCTAGAAAAGTCGAAAACAGGAGAGAATAAAGGCTATTCTGGTTAGGGTTATGACACCCAGCAGTGGTGAGCTGTTCTGAACTGGGAGCTTCGTGCTTAGTAGTCACACAACAGCAGCATCCATTTCTTCTGCAGCTCAGGGGCTTTTATTCCGGGTTGCAACCTCTCTTTCTCTGATCTCTTCGTCTCCTTTCTGCAGTGCAGTTTTTGCCCCACTCATCCTGTTGCACGTAAGCGATTTTTGGAGTTAGATCTGCAACATGAAATTAAAGGCAAAAAAAAAAAAAAAAAAGAATGCTTAATATTTTTCTTACGTTTTATGAAAAATGATTGCACGGGGGAATTTTGTTTCTCTCTTTATTCTTCCCCTTTTGTTTTGCTGTAGTGAAAAGGCTTTGTTAGTTAGGTGTGTGCTTTTTCACCTGTGTCATCTGTTGTAGGAGAGCTGCTTTATTTAGCGGGTGGATGGGACTCAATTGTGGTTCTGGGTTTCTGTGTCTGCCATAGCAATGATTGGACTCCAGACTGATCTGATTTTGCCTGGGAGCTTCTTGGACAGCCCCGGCTACTTCTGCAAGCAGGTCTGACCCCAGCTCTTCAACACCTGGCCCATAGCTGCGTCGTGATTCATATGCAATTGCCTGGAGCATGCCAGCCACATGCCACAATTTAGCAGCCAAATAAGGTGTAAAATTGTTTATTGGTTGCTAGCTTGCTCTAGATTTTCTGCTTTTTCTTCCCCAAAGTGATAGCCAGCCACTGAGGTGAAAGGGGAGGGCTGGTTCATGAACTCCAGGTCGCTGGCAGCGGTGTGCTGTGCTGGTGCAAGCTGCCTGCAGGCTTAAACACCTCCAGAATAGCCCCATGGCTGTACCAATGACCCTTCAGATTCAGAAGGGGTATGGAATGTCACTGAGTTTGTTTCCCAGCTGATTCCCAGTGTCGATCTTGATGAAAGTGGGTTTCCACTGCAGCAATCACAGCAAGGAGTGATGGTGCTTTGCACATCAGCTTCTCTTTCCAGCATGAGAAAACCTAATGGAAGCAACTCTTAATTACAGTGCAAAGGTCTTACCACAGATCTTCCTTCCGTAGAAGTGCAACAGAAGCACAACAGGTTCCTGATTTGAAGTGGTATTTAGTTTGCTGTGCAGTTCCCATCCTTTAGAGTCCTTGAGAGCTAGTTTGCATACGAGTAACTGAGGTCTGATGTTCTATCGTGGACATCTGTAGCATGAAGGAATGGTTTCTGGGTGTACTGAGGTTACGTGTGGATGTGTGCCTTGCTCCCTTGCATTAGCACCAATTAATTTTGGTATTTAAGTAACTTTTCTCTCCTGTTCTGCAGTTATTGTTTCGGTTGGTGTCCTTACTCAGTTTCAAAACTTCCACATGCAATTTGCACTTGAAGGTGTTTTGTAGCACCAGCACGAAGGAAGAACCTCGTTTTGAACACAAAGAGTAATTTTACATTCCTTGTGTCTAAAAGGCAGAAGTAGAAATACGGTGCAAAGCACGGAGTATTTATGTTGCAGAAATAAAGACCTTTCACTGTTAAAGCAGAGAGACTTGAAGCGAGCGAAACAGCTGTCTGTGCTTACTGAGCAATAAGTAATGAGCTGAAAAGATGCTAACACTGGAGAAAGTTGAGTCACAAAGTTAGCTTTCTCAGGTCTTTATGTGGCTCTTGGAGGAGTGGACACGGGTTCCAGTCACATCTGATCACCACTGTGGGGTGTGGGTATCATAATGAGCCCTGAGAGCTCATTATTAAGGAAACATCAGCATTTGGAGCTGTGCTTGTAGGTGGAAACACCTACACGTTTGGATTGTTATGGACGATCTTTTAGGCACTCTGTAGCAGCCCAGTATTTTGACTCTGTAGAACAGTCCACAAAAGGCCTGTGTAACAAGCCTTGAGAGCAAATTATGAAGTAATTTGCTTCCAAGCTAATTCTGCCTATCTTAAAAATGAGCTGATGACTTCAAGTTAAATTCTCTTTGCCCAGCCTTGTGAAAGTGCTTGTATCTTTGACTGGTCCATGAGCCATACACTGCAGGTGGTAGCTGGGCTGCTCTCTGTGCAGTGATTGCACTTCAGTGGCAGAATATGTTAAGCTGATAACTTGGTGTTGCCTCATGCATTTCAAGATGAGGAACGATTAAAAAAAAAAAAATCTTTCCTGTGCATCTATTCTAAAGTTTGTTGCTGGAGATGCATTTGTTGCTGTTCTTTATGGTGCAGTTGCATGGTTTTGTGCTCTGTTCTTGCAGAAATTGCTCTGAGGGATAGGAATGGCTAAGCTTTAGATTTCTGTAGAATCAAATTTCATTGCTGGCTGATACAAACTGCCGTAGAAATGCATAGCAGTAATGCTCTGGATTTCTTACCAGGTGGCAGCAAGCAAAATCAGGACTAGGAACATCCTGTGCATCAGTACAAGGTCATCCTGGAGATGATGCTGGAGTGTTAGTATTACATTTTCTCTTGATGGATTTCTGATCAATAGTGTGAGGGCACCTAGATGTTACTTAGCGGTATTGCTAGTCGAAATTTTCTGTATCTATCTCAGGAAATTGATTTTAGTGGTTTGCATAAAGTAACTTAAGGAGCTGCATTGAAAAAGAAGTTTCGATTCTCATCAATTATTCACTTTCTTTCTGTGAGCCTCCCTCCGTGTCTGTAGTTTGCTGCACTTGAACAGGTGAATGTGAATTAATGAATAATAGATAACATTTCGTGTGCTGACATGGAGCCTCGCTGGCCTTCCCTGTCTTCAGAGTTTGGTATTGTTTAGGTTATAGGATGCTTGGAACTCCTTCAGCAATAGAAGTAATGTAGTGAGCTGCTAGGAAAAGCAGCGTGTGATTGATCAGCTGGCTCATTGTGTCCTACTGGCTACTTTCCATGTTTGGTTTGTTGTTTGTTTTTTTTTTTTCATCATCCCTCTCCTTTTCCTGCAGTCTCTGCAGTATTTTTTGTACATGCAATTTCTAGAGCAAGTTAGAAGGAGCAGTCATCATAATTAAAAAAAAAAAAAAAGCTTGTTTGTCTTGTTTCTGAAAGCAAGAAGTCGAAGGAAACAATTCTTTTTCCTTTTTTCCACCCCATCCTCCGATCAGTGTTTCTTTTCTTTTTGGGCACTGACTCGAGTTTTTAGAAGGTCATCGCCAGGGCTGGAATAGAATTTAGACTGCAGAATTTAGACTTGTCTTCTTCCCTTTAGCCTCCTATGTAAGAGTGCCCAGGCCCTGCAGAAGTTTGCCCCTAATCTTGCAGTCTTTTCCAAAATAAACGCCGCTTTGCGCAAAAACTGTTTTGATCTATAGAGTGTCCTCCTTCTTCAGATAACTTTTCTTGCTTATTAAACACTGTGGCAGGAATGAAAAGCCTGCATTTCTGTGCCAGCTGTAAGATAAAATAGCCGGACTCAAGGCTGGGAAAGTGAAGGTTTGGATTTCAAACGCTGGTTGTCAAAAAGATGGCAAGTCCATGCCAGGTGTCCAAAGCACGTTACTGAGCTAACAAAGGTCTCTCTTGATTTACCTCTTGATTAAACTTCCAGCAATATTCTTTCCCTCTCGGGTTACATCTGCAAAGTTTTATCTTGCTAAAGTGCTAAACAGGGTTGTTTGGCATAACTGTGCCTGTTCTTTCAGGGGAGGAAATACAAGAGGGAACCAGGCTGTCATAAATGGACGGCACGTTTTAGGTCTCCAAACTCTGTTTCAGGATGGGTCAGATTTGTTGCTAGTTTTTCACGGGGAAACGCCATAAGAAAAATACTCAAATCCTCCTCAAAACTTTGCTTGCTTATGCAGGAAAAGGTGTTTGTGGCTATGTGTATTTTAACTCACTATTTCCCACGCTTTTTCTGGGAATGACTGATGATAATTCATGCTTAAAGAAGCCACCTGTTAGCCCTCACAGGTCTTCCTTTTTTCCTTTTTGTGATGCAGGAGCCAGAAGATGGATCAGGTATGTTTGTCAGGAAGGGCTTGAGGGTTGCAAAATACACGTTTAGAAATCTAAGAGGTTACTAAGTTATTTGAATTCTGACAGCTTAGAGATGCAGTTATGCTTCTCTCTTAAAATGCAAATATCAATTTTGACAAAGGTGTGCATCTTGTAGGAATAGCAGTCTCTGGAACAAGCATAAAGCTCAGGTGCATCCCTTCATAGAATCATAGAAAGCTTTGTGGCCACATTCATCTTTTAGAAGCACATGTCTTTGGAATATTTTGTCTGAGGAGATGTATGTATGCAGTTAAAATTGTTTCACAGTTAAAATTCACAATCAATTCTTCGGTTCAGTTTGGATTGGAAGGGACCTTAAAGATCTTCTAGTTCCAGTCCTGGTGTCATGACAGCAGGGATGCTGTGTTAGTATTCATTTTTCTTCTTCCTTTCATTATCTTCTTCTGCCTCCGCCTGGTTCTGTAGCTTTCACTCTTTGATGTGGACTGTGGCAGCACTGAGCTTTTGTAAACTGTCTTGAAAGTGTCTTCAGGGTATTTTGTCTGAGAGTGTCTATGTGCAGCTATTACTGTTTAATGGCCTTTGATTCAATTAAAAATACTTAAGAGGTCAGCTGAGGTTTCAGGTACGTTGTTTGAGCACAAAGGAAGTCCTAGCATTCATGGCACTGTGAATCATCAGGACTGGCACTTGCAGCTATATTCATTTATTTATACATTTAAATGTAGATTGATATAGATGTAAATATATATATATATGTATATATATGATATTTGCTCTCAGGTTTACTTAAGCACACATTATATATACTACCCCGTTTTGCACGACAGAACAGCTTCTGTCAGCCATAAACACTATTCTGAAAGCTGCAGCTGATGATGTTCCGTGTGTTCTTCTTTGACAGATTCCAGTTGCACATTGCTTTGGGCCTCCAGGACATTACAAAAGAAAGTTCTGCACAGTGTGCAGGAAGTCTGTGGAGTCACCTGCCTTTCGATGCGAAGGTAATTTGAAATGCTCCATTTGTGGATTCCATTTCATCCATCCATCCATCCATCCATCCATCCATCCATCCATCCATCCATCCATCCATCCATCCATTCCATCGAATGTGAATGTCATCCAGTGATGTATGCTTTGCATACCCTGTGTATATACACATATATACACATGTGTATATATGTGTGTGTATCATAACGCCCTTTCTGTGTTTCTGAGATTTTGTTATCCATTCATTGGCAATGGAAACACGTAGGTAAAATTTAAGGCACCACAGATCTGTGGTGTTGGTGATGAGTTGTTAGTCCACGTGAGAGACATGCAAAGAATGAGAAATTACTATGGCTAAGTAAAGACTTCCTCTGCTGAAATAATTTCTTTTTCCAACGGAAAGCTTTGTTGCATGGAACTTCAGGTTTCTGTCTTTCTGAAACCTTCCCCTGTCTACAAAAGAAAGGAATATAACTGTGTGTTACTTGTCTTGGACGTTTATTGCTTTCAAAGGAATGAAGTGCCTTTTGTGGGAAGTAACTCGACTATTTATCAAAGTAGTACTACTCTTTGTGTTCTGCCATAAATTCTCTTAAAAAAAATAACGTAAGAGATCACCTAAGCACCGTGTTTCAGGATCCATTGATTTGAAACATATGTTGGCACAGGCACTTCACCGATTTTGATGGGAGGCAACATTTGAAATCACATTACAGTTAGGTAATGCAGATGTGTAGGCATTTTTTTCTAGTTCACTGAGGATTTTGAATTATGTTCCATGGATTCAACAGATTGTTTTTGTTGTTGTTTTTGTTTTTTGCACGGTGTGACTTTGCTGTTCCGTGTTCTGAATACCAATTGCTCTACCACTTTCATTTCTTGGGCTTTTCAAAAATGTAGCTGAATTGAGATTAATATCATGTACAAGGAAGAAATGATCCTTTCTTTCCTCTCCAAAAGTGGTTCTAGAGTTTGTTTTAGAAATCAGCTTTGCAAATAGGAATGTGGATGTTAGACTTGCTTCCTTTTTTGCTGATTTATAATGACTGTGCTTACTAGGACAAGCCTGCCGTTGGTTATGATGTTCTCCTCTGATGTTGAGGTTTGAAGAATTATTCTTGGAAAACTTGGTGTAACTAAAGCAGAAAGTGCTGCTAACATGAAGTTACTTTTTCTAAGCAAATGGCTGACGCAGCTGGATGCACTTCTGAAACAATTGGCATAGGTTGCTTTAGGCTCTCTGACTCTTGCAATATCCTCCTTTGGTTTTGTCTTGTTTTTTTTTTTTAAAAGGAAAGTTATCAGGCAAACACTGTGTTTGTGTGATAGGGCGTCTGTTTTCAGAAACTGGCACGCATGTATCCTAACTCTTGATAAGATTGGATACCAAATATTTTATTTTTTTGCCTACGGAGTATATGAACCAATCTCTTCTGACAGTTATTAATTGCTTTAGATTGCAGTTCTTGCTGTAGAATTCACTAAAAAATCTTCAGCCTGGACTCTGGGTGCTGGATGCTCCATTTCCTTTTCTTTCCAAGAAGAAATGGAAATAAAAGAGGAAAAGGGAGACCAACACAAACATTTGTTAACAGTGGTTGCTTTGTAATAGTTTTCTTTTTAAGCATCATTCAGGAGCAGTAAATTGTGAACTTTTACTTGACGAAAGGGTTTTGGTTATTTTTTTGAGGAGCGTGGGTAGTTTTTTAAAGTTTGTCCTATCAAGTTTATATTTCTGAGATACATTCACAGCACTTGCATGGCAAAGTTGAACGGAAAAGCTTCCACTATGACTTAAAGAACCGTGTAGGTTATGGAAGTGCTGCTAAAGGCAGTGCTGGTAGGCATGCAGACTTGAATGGATCCTTACACGTGAACAACCTTATCTTTCCCATCAGTGGCACTGCTGCCTTAAGGGTTTATCCTGTGACACTCCTGCCCTTGACGTGCACACATTTTCTTTCTGATTGTGAGTGGAGGTTGGTGTCAGGTAGCATCGGGGGGAGAAAATAATTTTAAAACCTTCTGTATTCTTGCCCGTGATAGCAGAGGGCAGTGTGTGTTTGTGTTAGCAGAGTTAATGATACAAAAAAAAAAGGTTTCCATTAATTCCTTGAAGCCATAATCTGATCTGCAGAACCCTTTGCCATTAGCGAAGCTCTGACTCAAAGCACCGAGTTTTCCTAGTGGCTGAATTTATTCAACAATAAAAGCTGCCTGTTCTGTCTATAAAGCAAGGTTTAGGGGGAAGCATGAGCTGAGGAGGAACCGTCACAGCTCAGGTAAGATTGCTGAGCTCGGGAAAGGTCCCCAGGAGGAGAACTGCCCATGAACATTCATTATTGAGACAGCAGGCTGTGCTGCAGTGTGGTGGCAGATGATGGCTTTCTTCAAGGCTGGAGTAACACACAGTGTTAGCGTGACCACGTTTTCTAGAGCTTGGAGAGCTCTTTCAAAATGAAGTGTTACACTTCAGGAAATTGAATACTGTTTTCAGGATGCTTTCTGGTAGCGTAGATAACATTCCCAGTTCTGCCTTTCAGTCTTCAGGTTGCACTCTTCAGACCATTGCAACATGCTTGGATCAACCACCTGTTTTACAGGGAAAAAAAATTACACTTGGAGGATCTCGACTCTTACCTCTTACTTTTGCTTGCTTGACCAAGAAGTTGGATGCCTTCCCAGAGCACCTGTGTAGACAAGTCTTTAAAAAAGCAGCTAGAAATATCTATCTTTTTCATGCATCCGTGTGTCTTCCTTAGAGAGCTGTCCTAACCTTTGCAATAGGTAGAATAGATATTCTTTGCAATAGAAGCTAGATATTGAAGTCTTTTGGCTGTTTTGTTTTTTTGTGTGTGTGTGTTGTTGTGTTCCTTTTTTTTTTTTTAGCTATTTTAACTACTTTTTTCCAATGCACTCTTTTCTTCCACAGTATCAAGCTAGATTTTTAAGAAATAAAGAAACCTACCCAGCACTCTCAGGTTTGACTAAAACTTCTGGCTGAATTATCTCAGGTATTTTGGAGGGCAGTGTGAAGCCTACTTAAGAGAAGGCTCTGAGAAAAAGTAGCATTTTCCTTTTCCTGACAACAAAACTGTGATTTGCAATGTGCTGCCACAGCTTAGATGTATTTCCAGGATGAATGTACCTGTTTGAGTTTAAAATTCAGTGCTCAGTGTATCATCCAGTAATGAAGAGGATTTGTTTCCTGAGCAAATGTGCTCTGCTCTCACCTATTGGAGCTCCATTGGGTTTGGAAAGGGTTTGGAGCATGCTTTCAGGAAGATAGTTTACATTAGGCTCAATAGTTGATGTTCAGGTGCAGAACTTTCTGTTCCTGCTTCTAACATCGAGTTTTTTGGATTTGATTACATCAGAGTAGACTGCAGGAGTGATAATACTACAGCAGGCAGCTCTTCCCATGAAAAGGTGATACAAAGCTGTAAAGACAAACAGTTGCTACGAATTCAGCTTGCTGTATGGAAGAAAAAAAGGCAAGTAGTAGTTGTAGGCAAAGTTATCTCAGCCTTTCCTCGTATTTGCTGCATTAATTTAACACAAAGGAAATGGACCCACACTCAGGGTAGTGCTGATAATCTTTTATTGCCCATCTTCACTGAACAGAAAGAGCATGAAAAGAGCATGAAGGGATGAAAATGTGCTGCGGAAAGGTTCTGGAGAAGGGATAGGAGGGAGGAAGGAACAGAGGAGCTGGAGGAACGGAGAGACACTGACTCTGATTTTCTTGTTTTCATCTTTTCAGTCTGTGAGCTGCATGTCCACACAGATTGCATCCCGTTTGCTTGTAGTGACTGCCGGCAGTGCCACCAGGATGGGCACCAGGACCACGTAAGTGTCAGTTTTGTCTGCTGCAGAAAGTTCTCACGCATTTTCACTGCAAAACTAAGGGTTAGAGGCGTGGGAGATGAGAGTCCTGAACGCTTTGTTTTTTTGTTTTCTGGGTGTTTGTTTGTTTGTTTTTCTTGGCACAGGCTGACAGTTCACAAAGCTGTTTTGCAGCCTGTCTCTGGACAAAGACTTGTGGCTATGGGGTGTGTTGCAGATAGTGAGATGAACTTGAGGTTTACAGAACTCTTGCTGAAAAGTCTGTGCAGTGTGTACAGCGTCCTAATTAAAAGCTGAAACCAGCGTGTGTGGCATCTTTCTAAATACTGACCTTGTAGAAGCTGGTATGAAATTATGTTTTTCCTGTAGAGTAAGCTGTGAACGTGACAACATTTCTGTCTTCCTGCAGTCTGTCAGAGAGGAGACTTCCTGACTTCCCACTGTCTGATGCATGTGCAGCACTACTCTTCCAGGACTTATTTTCTCAATCTGTTCAGAATCACAAAATGTTCAGTTTTGGTGGGCTGCAAAGACAAAGCAGCGTGTAATAAAAGTTTGGGTAGTTTGATTAAGTTCTTTCTATGAAATACAAGATTGCTGAGGGTCTTACTTTTAGTGAAAAAATAACACTCCAGATCTGCTTTCTTAGAGGTTTTTTTGAATTACTCATTTAAAATTAGGTTGAAGGTGTTTCTGTAGCTGTTGTCAGACGTAATGCTAAGTTGTGATGTTTTCTACCAGGACACTTACCATCACCACTGGAGGGAGGGAAACCTTCCTTCAGGAGCTCGTTGTGAAGTTTGCAAAAAAACCTGTGGCTCTTCTGAGGTCCTGTCTGGCATGAGATGTGAATGGTGTGGCATCCTGGTATGTTGCTGGGTATATTTGTGAGAACCAGATATATTTTTATATATAGAAAATGTATGCATGTATTAAATACTTACCTGTGTGTGTGTATATATCAGTTGGTGCCATGCCTGCCCATAGCAGGGGAATTTAATAGATAATCCTTACGTTTCCTTCCAACCTACTTATGAAATAGGAAGAAAATGTTTTGTTTCTTGTTTCCCCTTAGCCACTAAAATGAGCAGTTTGCAAAATCAAAGTTAAACTTCGTGTATGAACAGTGGAATTAAAATTGAATGGAGGCTAACTTATGCTTAAAGATTTCAGCTTGTAAGCACGCAGTTAATTGTGATGCACAAAATCTGAAGCTCTTCTAGTTCACACCTGTCCCAGAAGGTCAAAGAGTTACATTCCAATATGCATATTCCTCTGCCAGAACCAAATAGCCCTAACCTGGAATTTCATTTTTGATAGCAAATGCCAGCTTCTGTCTTTTTTTTTTTTCCTTCCACATCACTGACACTTAATTCCTGTGCAGTGTGATTTTGTCCTTTGGTAGCCTCCATGAATGCCAAGCTGCTGTGCAGATCAGAATTAGCCCCTCGGCTGAACACTGCCTTTTGTTGAAAGATGATTGCAGTGTGAATTAGCACCACGTGCAGGTGGGAACCGAGATGTGCATCTGGTGAACTGAATCAGCTTGTCACGTAATGCAAGATGAGGCACACGATGTAGCAGTCATTTAAAATGGAAGTCTGATGCTGTGCAGTATTTCAGATATGGTTTGAATCACTGACCTATTTTAACAGTAGAGTTTTTTGCATTTAGAATCTGACTTGTGATTTCTGAGGTGGCAGGAGCTGTCTGCAAACAGCCTCACCAACGTGATGTGCAGCATGGCCACAGCTACAGGGCAAGCATGTTCAACAGTAGTGGAGCATCTAAGGCAATTGAAAAGACAGAAGCAAGCCAGATGTGTCTTGCAATAGAACTCCAAACGTATCTTACCCCAGAATTTTGCAAGCTAGTACTTGCCAGCAAGTTTGCTTATATGCCTACACTAAAATCAGGTTACTGCTATTTAAAAGTTCTTCAGTTTAAGCTGTCTGCCTTTCTCATGTACCCCAGGAGGTGTCCGTGTACAACAGAAGATCACGGCCTGAAATCAGAACTTTAGTTTTTCCAGATACCTGTCTGAAAATTACTAGGTTGTAACAGAGCAGATGTGTCATACTTGTAGTTTCTTCACTTGTCGAAACTTCCCATCGCTCCTTGCTTAACAGCCTGACGGAACAGACTAAAACCTAGTGTGAAAAAAATGACTGATGTCAAGAAAGTGATTTACAAAAGGTCTGCAAACATCCTAGCCAAGTTTTTGCCGTTGCAGAACGTATTTTGTTATACGCGCCTTTGCTTTCTTGGTGTTTCAGAAGATGCTTAACTGATGCTCCTGTTTATAGGCTCATGCTGCTTGCTACGTAGCTGTCACACCAGAATGTACCTTTGGAAGACTGAGGAGCATGATTCTCCCTCCCAGCTGCGTGCAGTTATTTTCTCGCAACTTCAGCAAACTGCACTGCTTTCGAATATCAGAAAACCTGCACACAGAATCAGGTAAAAGCTTCTGGAGCTGTATGCAGCTAATTGATGTGTGCTTCCTCCGGAGCCTATGACTGCTGATTTTTGCTGATTCCGTGGCAGTGCTGTAACTTTTTGCTGATGTGATGGGCAGGGTAAGGCTTGCAAATGCATGGTGTGCAAACTGCTGAAACTTCTGTTTGCTGTCACAGTGGGAAATGGGAAAGCTGCTCTTTCAGTTGTGAGCGTACAGAAAGTAGAAATCTAAACTCGAAAAATTTTCTTAGATTATTGTTGCCATAAATACTTGCTGATTTACTTGCTTTTAATTTAGCTTGTGATACGTAAGAATACTGTTATTTGCCTCTCTTCAAGTGCTTGCCCTTCTGTGCTGGAAGTCGTGTATTTAGCAGGGTAATGTTGTGCTGCCATCTAGAGTGTATGTTTGTTTAACAGCTCTTTAGGATCTTTTGAACCACTGAAGTATTTTTTGATGGATATATTGATTCTGTTTCTGAATACAGTATACAAGGTAGGTAAAATACAGGTCTTGAAAGTCAGATGTTTGCAGCTGCTCTTTTCTCAGCCTGACGGGTTGTTCTTGCTTTCTGCTTTGGATCCATTCTAGGATTGCATTTAGTGTCCTTGTTGGCAATTATGTGCAGTAGGAGCCACGTGCTGGTGTATTCAGAAGGTACAGCACAGTGATGCAACTGTAGGAAGTAGGTGACTCTAAGCCTACATAGCGTACATACACTGAAATGACCTATAAAAGTGTGCAGGGCCAGGGGGAGTCTTATGTGGCTTGTTTGTTGATGGGCCTGATTTTTCTCAGTGATTTATTTTTCTTTTTAATGAATTTGCCTCCTCACCAGGGGAAGTACGGTACGTACTTGGAAGTGATGCAGTCTTTAATTCTTCCAACTTAATACCAGAAATAAATAATCCAGATGAGCTCGTTGATACTGGGAGAGTCCTTATGAACCTTGATTTGTGTGTTGTTTGGTATTTGACAAGTCTCCCAAAAGCTTTAGTGAAGGAACATTTATGTTATTATTAACAAAAGTTAATCAAGAGCCTTTTAAACAGCCTGTTTTGGTACGATGTCTGTGATATTAAACAAGTTTATCTTTTAAACAGCGGTGTACTCTTTTAGTTGGTGGGACTTAAGCTCTTCCTTTTAATTCGTAAATCACTTCTAAATGAAACTGGAATACAGACCAGCATGATGGGGGGCATCCAAGGTTACATCTGCGCTTTCTAGTTTCTCCTTCATTATTTTAAATGATGGAAGAGAAAGATTTTCACTTTGGTGTATAGGGTAACTTGTTAACCGTACGAATTTTATTACACGCGTTCAAAGTCATTGTAGTAACAGTGTCCTTGGCATTCCTTTAATTAAAATGCACGTCTGGCACTTTGAATCAGAAGAATGCTGTGTAGATCAGCCAGTTAGCTGGTCAGGGGCAGACTTGAGGGGAAGGAGAGGTATCCTGGTGCTCTTGTACAGTAATGCTGCCTGGGTGGATTGCTTGGTTGTCCCTGCCATCCCAAGCCTAATGCTGAATCAAGTGATGTGAGATGGCTGGTCTTTGTTAAGCTGGATGCATCCATGCTGGCTCCTCTGCATTACTTTTCACACATACAGCAACTCATAGGAGATGGAGGAGAAAAGAGCATGAGGGAGCCTACAGAGGGAGGGAAATCAACTCTTTGAAAGGGGAGATAACAGCAGGACAAGGGGAAATGGTTTTAAGTTGAAGGAGGGGAGGTTTAGGTTGGACGTCAGGGGGAAGTTCTTTACAGAGAGAGTGGTGAGGTGCTGGAACAGCTGCCCAGAGAGGCTGTGGATGCCCCGTCCATCCCTGGAGGTGTTCAAGGCCAGGTTGGATGGGGCCCTGGGCAGCCTGGGCTGCTATGAAATGAGAAGGTTGGTGGCCCTGCATGTGGCAGGGGGTTGGAGATACATGGTCCTTGAGGTCCCTTCCAACCTTGGCCATTCGGTGATTCTGTGATGCCATAATGATAACACATGTGGGATGAGAGGGGAAAGGCCACGTAATCTAATGTTAAATTCCATTTGAGACTGAAGTTTCATGCATGCCATTCCATGCCTGCCCCACAAGTTCCTGCCTTAGTGTGTTTCAGAAGTGTTCAGAGAGCTTCATTTCAACAGTTTCACGTTGCTGTTCGTGTAGATTTCCCTGCTGTCCAGACTGAGAAAAAAATCATAAAAGGAAGATGTCAGCTCTTTTCCACCTAAACTGAGAAAAATGGGAGAATAGGGAGCGGTCAGGAATTATTTCATTTATTTTCTCATTTACTTCTTCTGAAGTTTGATTTCGCTTGAAGTGAAATTGTGGAAAGCATTCCAGTTTGAAACTTCATCCGTATGTCACTTAAAGCAAGGAAAGTATTTCAGTACTTTTATATTTAAGAAAAAAAGGACATAAAAAAGCTCAACTCAAATGCATTACTGCTGGCTGTTCTTGTCTTCTGTTGAAGAGTTAACCAAATGTTCTGTAGGTTAATTGTCTGCAGGGCTCCTGCTGAGTACTGTTTTTCACGTGTTGTAATTCTGCTTCTTGGAAGGATTTCCTCTATTAGGATTCTGATCTCCCTCATACCTTTATTGGTCTGAAGTTCTATCTTAATGCTTTTGTGTTTTTGTTTTTCATGTTTTGGGTTTGGGCTTTTTTTTTCTTCCCCCCTTATTTTGTTCCTTTAATTTCCTGCCTTCTGCCTCTAGGCCTGTTTTTTTTTATAAAGTTATTGCCTGGCTTGTAGCCCAATCAAGACAGGCTGAGAATTTTGACAGGTGGGAGTATGAAAACCATGATATCATCAGTACTTGGGTTGGCTTTTGTTCCTGCAGTTCCTGTTCCTACAGAGCTACAATTCCTGCACTGATTTGTCAAAGTTTGAAACTTACTTTTGGAATTGCTGTATGTAAGTTGGTAATAGGCAAATGTCACAGTCTGAAGAAGGGGTGGAACGCTCTGATTGCAATATTAGAGCTAGCAGTGGAAAGACTTCACATATGCTTTGACTGTAGCTACGCAGCAATGGTCGTGTCTTATTGACACTTTGTGCAGTATGCATTGTTATTCTAAAATGGCCAAAAGAAAACGAGCTTCTTTCTTCTGATTGGATTCTTTTATGTTAATCTTCTATGGAAACCTTAAGCAGCATCTACTTTTATTTACCTAGATCAGATAAGATAGAGTCCTCCCTTAAAATCTTCCTTTTTTCACAGATGAAGGTGATGATGTTGATGGGTCAACACAGGGGCCAGCCAAAGACATCCAAATTTCAACAGATTCAAGTAAGTAGAGTTACAGTAAGTGGTAAATATTCACCTATTCTGGTCTTTAATTCATTTAATCTTAATTTATTTTACTTTATGAAAAATATTAAGTAGTGACTCTTCTAGTGCCAGGTATCAGCTCAAGGTCCAGCACACATCCAGGGCTCTTACCATCTCATCTCTGCTTTCCACTGGCAGATTACCAGCAGTGACAATCTGTTCATTACCCTGTCAAATCAGCCACAAAATTTAGTTTCCCTAAATTTCCTTTCTGCTCTTCTGTACTTCAGCACTAAGTTACGTGCGAAAAGAAACAAATCCCAGCTTGCCATCTCACTCAACGTGATAACCAACTAGGGAAAGAATGGTGTTAAAAATCCATACAAAGGAAAATAATTTAAAAGCCGGGACATCATATCTTTTCAAAACTTCTTCCTTTAAAGTAGCTGGATCTGAATCTTACTGAAGGGACCGGGTGAATTTATAGCTTTGATCAGGCATGGTGTGTTAGGAATGAATGTATTCCCCTGCAGCAGGATTGAGCCAGGCTGGCACCTTTCAATGCATTTTGTAAATGCATTAATTCTGATATTTTCTGGGCTTAGTATTAGTCAAACCTTTGCTTTTCAGATGCTGAAGCCAGCCATGATTTAAGGGGCATCCCAGTCCCTGTATTATTAGTAGTAAACAGAAAAGTGTGGTACTTGTTACCAGATGTAGCTGCCTGGGTTGCTGTAGAAAAAGAAATCCAAAATCAACAAATAGGGTTTTTTCCTCCTTTTTTTTTTTTTT